AGCTTATGGCGGAGGAGACCATAGCCGCGGACGAAATTGCTGGAGAAGAATTAGCAGTGGAGTCGGCTGAACTCATGGAGGCGGCGTGAAACTTGAAGAGAGAGAAAAAAAAATTAGATATGAGCTCTTGATACCATGTGAAATAATGGGAAACGTAGCTCCAATAGGAGCTCTAGTAGGTATATTTATAATAAATAAGAGTTTCCAAAAAACACAAAGTTTCCTAACTTATACTCCCTCCGTCCCAAAAACAACTTCCCATTCACTATTCATTGGTCAACTTGAATCACTCGTAATCTTTTACTTTTTATATCAAAATTTTATCAAATTTAAATTTTATTGATCAGGCTTTGTAGCGGTTTTAATGTAGTTTCTGAATATGTAAATTTTATTTACTAAAAATAATCCGAGTGTGAGCAGGGATCGAGTTGCTTTATCGTCAGTCAAGCATCGTAAACCGAACGGGAAGTTAATTTTGGGACGGAGGGAGTATTAACTATTAGAATTGAGGGATATGAGTTGTTGGGTAGATGCTGAATCAAGAGAGATTGAGGAAGACATTTGGCTGGAATGGAGGGTGGGATTTTCTGACTTGGGTTAAGCAGGCTGCGGGTGGATCAAGACAGTAACTTTACTGCCGGCTCTGATACCATAAAGAATGGTCATGCGTGAGCAATATGAATAGGCAAACTCAGGATTAAAACTTTGTATATATCACTGTGATCATTTACAGAGTGTACAAGCTAGTATTTATACAAGCTAAAGTTGGTACTGTGATCCACTGCGTAATGGAGCGGTCTACTATAATAGGACAGTTCAAACTACTAAGGGATAATATTAAATAAATACATTAAGAGGAAATATTATCTACTCATTATATTATTTATCATTTATAATCTTCATTAGGAAATTCATCACCTGTAATTTAATTACATTTACTTATCCCAAGATAACCTCAAATTTATGCCACTGTAAATTGGTGCAACTACAAAATACCCTTACATTTACATATATTCCCCCAATGTCCATCCTTATTAATAATTTACAAAAGGGGGTCTTGTTTTCATTATTTCTACTCATTATTCAAGACTCTTTTATACTAAAATAATTTTTTCTCTTCCTTCAATTTTAGCATATTTTAGTAATTTAGTAATTTAGTTTGTTGTAATGTCAAATAAAGGAGACGTACATGCACTAGCACTAGCGGTTATGTATAAAGGTATCACTTTTATACTTACACAACTTGGAGGGAAGCAATTTGGGTTAGAGACGTTGGAATAGGACCAGTGAGAGAGTTGTGGTCGATCCTTCTTCCCATTTGCACAAAAAAGGAAAGAAAAGTAGAAAAAAATGAGGATCCCCAACACGAAAGAAATAGAGCCACACGAAAGAATATCAGTGTATTCGATTCGAATATTAATCAAATATATTCGATTAATGATAAGTGATATTATTATAATAATATTAATAATAATAGTAATAACACTATAATGACTTTTAAATAATAGCTATACACTCAAAGTGTAGTCCATATACACATTTATGTATACAAATTTCAAACTCATTTGTAATAAATCAGAAGTATCATACGGAGTAAAGATTGTAAAGGAAGCAAATAATTTTAATTCGATTCGGGGTTTAGATTCAAAAGATATGATTTAAATTTGAAAATATAGAATATAAATACGAATACAAATCAGATTTTTGGTTCAAATATCTTTCAAATACGAATACAAATAATTATGTATTCAATTCAAAGAATAAAATTAGAGGCGTTTGACTACGATATATAAAATTATCAATTTGTTTCACACATTATAAGTATAATTTCTAATATGTGTGTGTTAGTGTCCATTAAATTTTAAAGAAAAATGTACTTTTAAAAATTAAAATTTTAAAACACATATTAAGTCGTATCATGCATTTATATCGTAAAAAATATAAGAAAAATTACTTCAAGTGATATTTGACTAATATTTAACTTATGCTCAAATAGATTCGATATTCGTATATGATTCGTTAATTATTCGTATTGTTAAACAAATACAAATACAAATCGAAATTAATATTCGTTTCATATTTGAATTCGAATTCGTATTCGAAAAAATTAAACAAATACAAATACAAAATCTCACTATTCGACTCGATTCGGTTCGTATACAACCCTAGTACTATCTCCAATAAGTAATGATTTACTAGTTTCTTATGTCTACTACGAAGTATGTAAGTATGTTTCTTTTTTCTCTCTCTTGGCTTTCACCATACATAATCATTCCTTGTCCATTTGAGTTATCTCCTTCCTATGGATTATATTCTTGAGTAATAAATTTAGTTTTTAATTTTTCTTTTTGCATTCATCTTCCTACAGTTCTAATGTCTATTGTTTTCGAAAACTTGTTCATTTTGATAGAGAATGGTTTTTGAAATTCGTTTTTCACTAATTATTTTACTTGCACGGATCGAAGTGCTTATTACGATGCATATACTATTTTATGTTATGTAAAATGGTGCATCATTGTTGTTATAGTGTTTATGTTAATTTGTCTTGCACTAGAAAATTACATAGATATTTATTCGTTGGTTGTTGATTTCAATGCAATCATATTTATTTCCTCTTTCACTTTTACATATTATTATTGCATAACTGTTAGGATGTTTTCTTTTGAACTGTTTTCAGTCCCAGACCAGACCAGACTAGATCAGATCAGATCAGACCAGACTTAACCAGACCAGACTTAAACAAACCAGACCAGACTTGGATAGTTATAAAATATACAGAGACCAGACGTTTACCAGACCAGACAAAACTTAAACAGACCAGACTAGACCAGATCAGACCAGACCACCAAATTTCAGTCCAAAAGAAAACATCCTTAGTTAGTGTTGGTTAACATAATTTTTTTTATACACTTACCATATTTCGTACATGCACTTTTTACTAGTTTTATGTTTTAATATTTTTTGTAGATACAAGTGATACCAAGATACACTATCATAATTGAAAATTTGATGCTTTTGAAAGAAAAATGTATTTCATTATATAAAAAATGCCAATGTAAATTTTAGAAAAAGTGTGATATACTGGGACACTTTTATCCTTTAAAAAAATAGTGCACTTTTATATATTTACAACACACATTGTAAAAGTGCATTGCTTTTATAAATTAAAGAAGTGTTAATGTAGAACATTAGAAAATGCGATATAATAATGCACTTTAGATATATTTTAAATGCATGTTATAGTTGATAGTCTACACCTTTGCATATTTAGGTTCATATTTATTTAAGACATATATGGATGTGCACAACAAAATGTATAAAATGTAAGTTAATATTCTACAAAGTTCAAACTAAATATATCGAAGTGCACTTAAAAGTGCACAATAACATAGTAAACATGTAAAATCTCTATAAATTTTCAATAATGTCTAAATGTTTAGTTCATTTAATGTTGCATAATATTTTGAAAAAGTGCAAGTATTCAATGTTCTAGTGCAAATACACAAAATTAGGTTAACGGAATATTTTATCTACTCTAGAAAACAATCAAACATGAAAAGTGGACAATTCTTATAATGATTTTGGTTGGGAATATTTTATTGCGATCAATGTTATTTTTGTATAATCACTTGAATGTATTTTAATAAAGTATTAGTAGACTAGCCTTATTAGGTAATGTTGAAAAGTGTGCAATTGGACCACCTCAATAAAGGAGCCCAAACATGCTTAGGTCATATCAACTCATTCTCTAGTCATATAAATATTTCCTTAGAGGGAATGGGCCACAAGTCTCTATGAAATAGAGAACCGCATAAATCATTCTTGAGAGAGAGAGTTGAGAAATTTCCATTTCATACATTGAGTTGTAATTCTAAATCTTTGTGGTATTGAATCAGATATGTGTTTCTAGTTTCTCTACTCTATCCTATTTTGTAATTTTGATTGTTGAACACAGGGGACAACAGAAGCCGAGTTGCACTGAAGATCATCAAAGCCGAGCTCGAAGAGCTACAGAAGCAAATCATTTTGGAAGAAGACAGTGAAGAAGAACTCAAGGACTTTGAAAGGATGACCAAAGTGCTAGGGGCCATTAACAAGAGGATAGAGATGCGACAATCATTGCGATATTTTGAGCATGCCCTGCGCTAAGGGAGTCACACTTCAAGAGACAAAGATGAATAAGAGCTGAAGCACATTTGATCACAAAGGGAGAGATCGTTGGGAATATTTTCTTGTGATCAATGTTATTTTTGTACTGTCTCTTAATGTATTTAATATAGTAGTAGTAGACTAGCCTTATTAGGAAATATTGTAAAGTGTGTTATTGGGCCACCTAAATAAAGGAGCTCAATCATGCTTAGGTCACATCAACTATTCCCTAGGCATATAAATATTGCCTTAGAGGGAATGAGCTGTAAGACTGTAATAAAATTAGCGCATATATCATACTAGTGAGAGAGAGCCAAGATTTGTTTTTCGATACCCTGTTCTGAATTTCAAAATCCTTTTGGTATTGAATCGGATAATCTGTTTCTTCTCTACTCTATCCTATTCTGTTATTTTGATTGTTGAACTTAGGCACAAACAATTTGTATATCACATTAATTATCCAAATTATTTGTGAAATAATAGTAAATTTGAAAAGAAAATTAAGTAAGAGAAAACATAGAGAGTTAATGCTTGTTGATTATTAGCCTAATTCTTAGAAAGTTTTCCTATTATAGTGCCACATTACCGTCACATGCATCCAACTACTTGAATGAGTTTTATCATGATGCCCCTAAATTTATTTTGAGTTGAACGATTGCCTTAATTACAATCTCAATGATCTGAAAATCTAGTTAAACATCCGCTACTTTGAAAAATACTAGACCATTTAATCTAACTATTGAAATGTTGGATCTCATTCCCATTTCTCTCTCAAGAGAGATCATTCTCACCGGAGCTTTCCCCCCTTCTTTTATTTGTTTATATACACAGACAATTCATTCAAAAAAAGCTACTTCTTTTAAATGTATAGCGGTGTGCACACGCCCTGATGTGTGATGTGTACCTGAAAAATGGCTATAATTCATAGGTTGAAGACTTAAAGCTCAACAGGGACAACAATTGAAGAAGAAAAACACAGTACATGCAATTGTAACTCTTACAGGAAGCGCAGGTTTTTGAGATTGCCCAAAGTCTCAGGTATGTTACCATTCAAGTTGTTCAAGTACAGATCTAAGCTCACCAAGCTTCTTACGTTGCCTAGTGTCTCAGGAATTGTGCCACTTATATTGTTTTGATAGAGCTCCCTAAATAAAAAACAGAACAAATCACATGAACATGTGCAATGTCAAACCATGGACCAAACAAATTAAACCTGATGAAACCTCTAAAACATTAGTGTACGTAAGAGATCACCAAAGGCGGAATTTTGACTTCGCACTCAATTTTGATCCATATTAGATTTTGCAAATAATTTTCAGAAAAATAAAGAGCCTGGTTGGTCTTGTTTTTTTTGGTTTATCAGACTTATCAGCCAACATTTTCATCATACACATAACTTTTGATTTCGCGCGTTAAATTGTGTAACACTCTGTAATCATAATAAGTAAGGTTGGACTTACTTTTCTGGTTGAATTGACTTAAGTTACTGTTAATGGTCATTTTAACTGTTTTTTCATGTAAGGTTTATCTTTATTTTATTAATAAAATACGGAATATAAAATTTCATAATTCAACATAGTTAGCCAATTAATCTGGTCATTTCAATCGGAACTTCACAAATTTCAGCTGAATGAACCAATTTAGCCTAATTCAGTGTTACCAGACGGAATCAAAGTGTCCAATCCACTCATTGATGAAAATTTTGTAAAGGAATGAGGTGCAAATATCAACTTTAATAATAAACAAGGACAAACTATACCAGCTTAATGTTGGGAATAACAGGATCGTGCTAATTTGAGAGAAAAACACTTCTATTACTTTCAAGAATAGAAAGAAGAGACATACAAGCTCTAACTAAAAACTCTCAAAACACCTCACATATCTCTCAAGGATATTCACAACTCAAACTTGGTTGTGGTATTCTAATCTATGATCTAAATTGCTTGATGATAGAAAGACTCTCCAAGCTCTCTATTTATAGCACCAAAACTAGGTACTATGAAGGTGGAAGGAAGCTTCAATGGTGGTTGGAAGGAAGGTCACTCCTAGGTGTATGGAAGCTCCCTTTGTCATTCTTGCACATGGAGGAAACTTCAGGGAAATTAGGAATTGGATTCTTCAATTTGCTTGTACTTGGATATGACCTGGAAATTGAATTCTTCAATTCTCCCCTTCCAGGCATATTCAAAACAAGCATCCCGACTATGTCTCTGCACAGCTCTAGCTTATCCCGTGTCACCACCTTCGTCAGCATGTCTGATGGATTCTCCTTTGTATTGATCTTCACTAGTCTCAACAGTTGTTGATCAATCGTCTCTCGTATCCAGTGATACCGAACATCAATATGCTTTGTACGAGAATGGTACATGGAGTTCTTGCTTAAGTCTAAAGCACTCTGACTGTCACAATGTACCTTGTACTCTTTCTGCTGGATCCCAAGTTCTTGGAGAAAACGCTTTAGCCACAACATTTCCTTACCTGCTTCAGCGGCAGCAATGTATTCTGCTTCTGTTGTAGATAAAGCGACACACTTCTGCAATCTTGATTGCCAAGAAACGGCTCCCCCTGCAAAAGTGTAAATATATCCTGAAGTAGACTTTCTACTATCAGTATCTCCGGCCATATCAGCATCTGTGTAGCCTTCCAAGACTGGATCAGCTCCTCCGTAACAAAGGCATAACTTCGTGGTACCTTTCAAGTACCTGAGAATCCATTTGACTGCCTCCCAATGCTCCTTCCCGGGGTTAGAGAGAAAACGACTCACTGTACCCACTGCCTGTGCGATGTCTGGCCTTGTGCATACCATGGCGTACATCAAACTCCCAACTGCTGAAGAATATGGAACTGTTGACATCTCCCCGATCTCTTCCTTGGATGTAGGGCATGTTCTTTTGCTCAACTTGAAGTGATTCGCAAGTGGAACACTTACTGGCTTGGCATCATTCATGTTGAATCTCTCAAGTACTCGTTCAATGTACTTCTCCTGAGATAGCCATAACTTGCGATTCTTCCTGTCTCGAGTGATCTGCATCCCAAGAATCTGTTGAGCCGGTCCTAAGTCCTTCATATCAAAAGACTTAGAGAGTTCTTTCTTCAGTTGGTTTATCTTCACTGCATCTTTCCCAACGATCAACATGTCGTCTACATATAGTAGAAGAGCAATGAAGGTACCGTCTGGAAGTTTCTTGATGTATACACACTCATCTGCAGTAGTCTTCTTGTAGCCTTGACTCTTCATGCATGAGTCAAACTTCTTATTCCACTGCCTTGGTGCCTGCTTCAAGCCATACAAACTCTTAGATAATTTACACACAAAATTATCATTTGAGTTCTCAAAACCTTCCGGCTGCTGCATATAGATTTCTTCTTTCAAATCTCCGTGAAGAAATGCTGTCTTCACATCCATCTGTTCAAGCTCCAAGTTCATACTTGCTGCTAAGCCAAGTATAACTCGGATTGAGGTCATCTTGACAACTGGTGCAAAGATCTCATCAAAGTCAATTCCTTTCTTCTGCTGGAACCCTTTGACAACCAACCGAGCTTTGTGTTTCACCACTTGTCCGTTTGCATCCTTCTTCAGCTTGAACACCCATTTGTTCCTCAGTGCCTTCTTCCCTTTAGGAAGTTCTACGATCTCATAAGTTTGATTTTTCTGCAGAGATTCTAACTCATCCTGCATTGCTATTAGCCATTTTTCTTTATCCTTATGAGATACAGCTTCTTGAAAACTCTCTGGTTCTCCATCTTCAGTTAACAAAAGATATTCAGATGATGTGTACCTTGTCGATGGTATATGCCCTCGTTCAGATCTACGAACAGTAGGAACCATCTGAGAAGAGCTACCATCATCTGTGTCTGGCGGGGTGGATTGTGTCTCCCCTTGCTCTGCACTCTCTTCTGTCTCCTCCTCTTCTGCTTCTGAGTTATCTTCATGCACTTTGTCCTCTTCTGGTGCTTCATTTGAAACTTGAACACCCTCATTTGACTTCCGAGACATTGTGGGGTTTTCAATGTCTTCTATTGTCAAATCTTCGTGGAACACAACATCCCTACTTCTGAACACCTTTTTCTCCTTAGGATCCCATAGCCTGTATCCAAACTCTTCATTTCCATAGCCAACGAAAATGCATGGGATAGTTCTTGCATCGAGCTTCTGCCTGAGCTCTTTGGATACATGTGCATATGATGAACAACCAAATACTCTAAGATGTGAGTATGTAGGATCCTTACCTGTCCATAGCCTCTCTGGAACTTCAAAGTTCAGTGGTACTGAAGGTGATCGGTTGATAAGATAGCATGTGGTGTTGACTGCTTCTGCCCAGAATGACTTCGGAAGCTTAGCCATATTCAGCATGCTCCGGACACGCTCCATGATAGTCCGGTTCATTCTTTCAGCAACGCCGTTGTGCTGAGGGGTGCGTGGTACTGTCTTCTCATGTCGAATGCCATATTCTCTACAATATGCATCGAACGCCTTAGAAGTATACTCGCCTCCATTATCAGATCGGAGACATTTCAGCTTCTTTCCCGTTTCACGTTCCACCAAGACGTGAAATGTCTTGAAGCACTCAAATACCTGATCTTTCGTAATCAGGAAATACACCCACACTTTCCGAGAAGCATCATCAATAAAAGTCAGAAAATATCTGCTTCCACCGATTGATTCCACCTCGAAAGGACCACAGACGTCGGAGTGTACCAAACTTAACAACTCTGATCTTTTAGCGGAAGTAGAACTAAATGATACTCTATGATGCTTACCAAACAGACAATGACTGCAAGGACCCAGTGCAGCATTCTTGTCGATGTTGATAAGGTTCTTCTTGATCAAGGTAGTCAGCCCTTTCTCACCGATGTGGCCGAGTCTCAGGTGCCACAGATTCTGAGAAGTCTCCTCAGCAATGTTCAGGCTATCCGTACAAATCCTCAAATGGGTTTTGTACAATGTGCCACAAACATGTCCTCGAGCGATTGTCAAAACGCCCTTTGACATTTTCCAGGTGCCCCTGTTAAAGTGGTTTTCATACCCCTGTTCGTCAAGACATACCACTGACAGGAGATTGAGACGAAGGTCTGGAACATGTCTGACATCTTTCAAAGTGATTATGCTCCCAGAACTCGTCTTTATTTGTACATCACCAATTCCAGCTATTTCAGATGAACTGGAATTGCCCATCTTCACTGCTCCAAAGTCTCCAGCTTTGTAAGTTGTGAAGTAGTACCTGTGGGGAGTAACATGGTAGGATGCTGCAGTATCTACCACCCATTCAGTGTCCTCTCTTGAGACGTGAAGGCATGTTTCATCATTGATAGTACAATACGCCACATCACCTGAGATTGTGATGAGCGCTTCACCACCCTTGCTCTTCACTTGAGAATTGCTCTTGCCTCGCTCCTCTAGCAATTTGTAGCAATTCTTCTTCATGTGACCCTCTATACCGCAATGGTGGCAAGTATAAGAAGGTTTCCGGCCATCTGATGATCTCCCCCGACTTTTGCCCCTGCTTTGCCATTTCCCTCTACTGTTTCTTTGTTGTTTTCCTTGTGATCTTCCTCTATTCTCTGTCACAAGGGCATGAGTCTCATCTGTGCTCATGTCTTTCCTTCTTGCCTCCTCATTGAACAGTGCATCCTTGACCACAGACATGGTAAGTTTGCCATCTGGGGCTGAGTTGCTGAGAGTAACAACTAGTGTCTCCCAACTATCAGGAAGGGAACTAAGAAGCAGTAGAGATTGCATTTCATCTCCAAGTGGCATTTGTACACAAGATAGTTGATTTACCAGACTCTGAAATTGACTAGTATGTTCGGCAACAGAAGTTCCACTTTTGAGCTTCATATTGACAAGACGCCTCATCAGTAGGGCCTTGTTCCTAGCGGTCTTGGCCTGGTACATATCTTCTAACTTTTTCCAAAGGGCATAAGCATCGGTTTCTTGTGCAACATGGTGGAAGACACTATGGTCAATCCATTGTCGGATTTGACCAATAGTTTTTCTATTAATTTTCTTCCACTCCGTTGACTTGGCCGGATCAGAATTAATACCTTTCATCTCTATTGGATCAAAAAGGTCTTTACAACTAAGGAAATCTTCCATCCGAGGTTTCCATAGCGTGTAGTTGGTAGCCGTGAGCATAATCATAGCTCCGGAAGATGAAGTTGACTCGTCAAAGGTCATTTTCACCTTCTAAATAATTTTGATTTTCTGTTTCAGAAAAATCGGAGCCGAATTTCGAAAAACGGGCATCACCGTTGCGTCCGGAACGGCCGAAAGTGGTGGGTAGGCACTTTCAGGGTCAAAATACAATTTTCGAAAAATTATAGGTGGAAATTATAATTTTCCAAAAATTGAGGGACCAAACTGCAAATTTTCAAAATTACAAACTGACCGGTGACGTGGCAGATGACGTGGCGGTGACGTGGCGGTGACTGGGCGATGACGTGGCAGCTGACTGGGCGCTGGTGAAAGTTGGCAGTTGACTGGTGACGTGGCGGCTGACTGTGCTGGGACTGCACATGTGGCGCTGACGTGTCGCTGACGCAGCTCTGGCTGGATGATGACGTCAGCGATGACGTCAGCTGTCTTCAACCTCTGTCTGCGCGTGATGACGTCAGCATGACGCAGGCAGTTTTTGGCCGGCGTTTGGCGGCGCGTATGGCAGCTTCCGGTGGCCAAAAAAATCCCCAAAAATACCAGTTTTCTCGTGTCGAAGAGACGAATCCAATGGTATATTCAGATTGCAATTCCGAGCAATACTGAAAAACTCGATTTTTCAGACAGTAGAATTTTATCTGAAAAATCTGGGAAAAATATCAAAAGCTCAACCAGGCTCTGATACCACTTGTTGGGAATAACAGGATCGTGCTAATTTGAGAGAAAAACACTTCTATTACTTTCAAGAATAGAAAGAAGAGACATACAAGCTCTAACTAAAAACTCTCAAAACACCTCACATATCTCTCAAGGATATTCACAACTCAAACTTGGTTGTGGTATTCTAATCTATGATCTAAATTGCTTGATGATATAAAGACTCTCCAAGCTCTCTATTTATAGCACCAAAACTAGGTATTATGAAGGTGGAAGGAAGCTTCAATGGTGGTTGGAAGGAAGGTCACTCCTAGGTGTATGGAAGCTCCCTTTGTCATTCTTGCACATGGAGGAAACTTCAGGGAAATTAGGAATTGAATTCTTCACTTAAATCACAATAAATTAATGATGAAATAATAATGATTTAGATCAATCAACTGAAGTGGTGCGTAGTTAGGGTAGACTCAATATTGATGGGTTCCATTCACCTAAATACTTACCACGCACATTTATTTTTTAAGATGTGGTGTAAAGGTCTAATGATACCTGCCCAAACTATGGAGTGCAAAGGCAAATTGTTACCTCATCAAAGTGGGTGCTAGATGGCCGGATTGAACAAGAAAAATGTAAAAAAACTACATTTGCGAAGCATAACTTAGACCAAAGAAAAAGAGAACTTACAAGTACTGCAAACTTGAAAGGTTACCAAGCTCCGGAACCAGTTGACCACTCAATCCTGCATTTCCTAGATCACTAGAAGTGAACATAATTAAACAAAAGTGAGAGAAAAGCTATAAAACAATAAAATACTATATATAAGGCTTTGAGTTCCTCCTCCTATCAGGTTGACCTTTTAAGAAGGAACCCGGGTCTTAACATGATATCAGAGCCAGGTCCAATTGTGATTTGACTACTTGTTTAGCACTCATGATTAAAGGTAGCTTGTTAGGAGTATGTTTGGCCCATTTATACATCCTGATATTGTCCAGCCTGGTTTGAGTTGAGGGGGCGTGTGAAAGTATTTGTCCCACACCGGAAAGTTATAAAACAATAAAATACTATATGAGGTTTTGGACTACTCCATCTGATTGACCTTTTAGAGTGGCTTTTAGGATGTAACCCGGATCTTAACAGGCCGACAGGGCGTAGCTCCTAATTTCTCATCACTAGAGAAAGAATCTTACATTCTAGTAACTTGGTCTTCCTTGTTGCAGGTAACATGAAACCAGGTGCAGGGATTCACAAGGGTGTCATCCCAACTCTGCAGAACATTGGTTGGATCATCCAATTTTTTCTTCAGTGCACTCAAAGCATCGCCTGTACAATACGCGTCGCCTTACTCAAATTAAATGTCCCAATCATCAACTTATGATATCATTCCCAAAAATGATCGAAATGGTGATATACATTCCCTAAATCTAACTATCTATATAACTATATACAAAAGGCATCAGAAAAAGAGTAGCTTTCCAGCCCAAGAATGGGGGTTACAATTTGGTTAACTTAGAATTATTTTTTCTTCTTGACAATATTTTCTTTTGCCTCTCTGTTTAAGAATATTTCCGGTAAACTATAGGAAAATTGACATGTTTGGATATTTTTACTTAGATTGTTTTAGTCTCGGACCAGACCAGACTTGATCGGATCAGACCAAATTAGATCAGACTTTGATAATTATAAAATAACAGAGACGAGATGTTTACTTGACCAGACTAGTTCACATCAGACCAATTCAGACCATTTAAGATCAGAAAATTCCAGTTCAAACAAAAATATTTTATATTACAATTTACAAACGGTATTATTTTCCAAATTAAAGCTAAAGAATAAATTATTTATAAATGTAGGGTCGAATTAATTTCTTTTGCCAAAATACTGATGTAGAGAAATATTGATTGACCACTTTGCCTTTGACATACGGATAGGAGCTTGGGAAGAGAAATGGCCATTCGCATGGGAGAACTGGAGAAGGATGAGGTGGCATTAAACTAAAATTAAAAAAAATCCCCTTATTTTTCAAAGTGATATACTATCGTACTATAATTGAATTCTTTGATATTGTTAAATCAAGTTAACAAATCATTATTTCCCAAAGTTTCATAAAAATCACTCTCTCCGTTTCTTAAAACTTTGTCATCTTTCCTTTTGGGGACTTCCTAAAAAACTTTATCACTTTCCCTTTAATCAATCATTTTGTGGTTTATGTTCATTCTCCCTCCTCTGCACAAATCTCAACCACGCAATTTTTACTTTATTATTCAACGTGCCAGTCAACTTTGGCAAAGTTTTAAGGGACGAAGGTAGTATGAATGAAAAGTCCTAATTACATTTTTACTTGTTAAATATAAGATTTTATTAATTAGAATTGAACTATACTTTGTATATTCTAAAACCTCAAATTAAATATTCCAAAATTATATACATCAATTAAATTAGTTTTTCGACACTAAAAAGGTAAAATAAGACTAACAATTTTTATTAAAGGAAGAGAAGAATAGTAAGTCAGTGTCCAAACCCGCTAGCTATTCACCGTGACGTAGATGTTAGCGGATGTAGTACCATATGTTCCTTTGTTTATAGAAATAATGACAGATATAATACTACCACACTTCCAAAAGACAAAAATAAGACTTGTTTTAAATTTAGACAAAAATAGGATTAATTATAAGTGGATGGACAGATGCAACCCTCATATAATACGGAGTAACTCAAACCTAATCCCCAAATTCCAAATATTCTCGTCTCAATCATCTCACCTCCAGCCGCACATCCATGGCCACCGCATCCGCCGAGCTCTGCGATTTTCGAAACTCCTCCAAATGTTCTCCTCTCATCTTCGCTCAAGCTCTGCCTCGAGGAGGTACTGGCGTCTCCTCCACCGTAATATCCCACGTCGCCGCCCATTATGTTCTTCTTCTCCTTTTCTTATTTTCTGTTCGATCGATTACGCTTTGAGGAGATCCAGGGGCGAGTTCGAACACGGTCGCACGCCATCGTCGTCCTCATTTCCATATTTGTGATGAGGTTACCGGTGCCTAGGATTTTGAGGTGATATGTTGCATCGGGTGGGCGGTGGGCGGTGGACGGCCTAGGGTTGTGATGAGGAAATAGTGGTTCTGGGAGCTGGGGAGGGGGCTGGGGGAGATGGCAGAGGTGGTGTCACCATCGGAGACGACGACCGCAGTGTCGCCGGCAAGGCGGCGGTGTCGGCGACGAGGCAAGGTCGGTTAGTGTAGTGTGACATGAGAGGGGCTGGGGTGGGCTAGGTGGGAAGGGGATTGACTGGTGGGGGCGTGGGGCAGGGGGTTGGGGTGGACTGATGGGGAGGGGGCTGGGGTGGACTGGTGGGACATGTCCGGGGTGGACTGATGGGGCAGGGGATGGGGCATGGGCGGACTGGTGGGACCGGGGGCAAGCTGGTGGGTTAAGGGGCAAATATGATACTAGGGCAGGTGAAGGTAGAGGCTGTTACGGGCACACCGGGCGACAATGCTCGGAGATGGCGGTGATCAATTGGTCACTGTCGGGACAGTGATGTCACTGTGAGCCGGGTGGTCACTTGAACCGGGTGGTCACTCGGGTGGTTATTGAGGCGGTTGTTATTTTGTAACTGTAACGTTGGTCACTGCGGGTTAGAGTCATTGTAACTTTGTGGAGTCGGAGTCACCGTAACTTTGTGGAGTCGGAGTCACTACAACTTTGTGGAGGTCGGAGACACGGTAACTTTGTGCGGGTCGGAGTCACTGTAACTTTTTGCGGGTCGAAAGTCACTGTAACTTTTTGCGAGTCGAGTGTCACTTTGTCACTTTGGTCACTGGGATATTAGTAACTGAGACGATGATCACTGAAACAATCGTAACTGGGGCATTGGTCACTAGAATAGTTTATCATCATAAATAATATTAAAATTTTAAAACAATATTATAAACTTATGAGTCATTGTTACGGATTGCATTGAAACAATATTTTTTTTTTTTTTTTGTAAAAACTTTCACAAGATTGCAATAATTTCCCATCAATCGGCAGATTTAGCATATACAAGTATACAACTAGATTGTCCGAAAAACGAATCTTACATATGTCCAATAGTAAACAAACGTCCATAAGAAGGATGCTTGGGTGTTAAACAATGGCCTAGTCAGCTATTCGACTAAAAGAGAGCATATACTGATAAGTGATCACAATTAGACCCCCTTCATATCTCAGTTATATTTACCTTCAGGGAATGGACAGACGGCATATATTCCAATTCTTTGCCGTTTATGGTCCAAAAATGTCAGTCCTATATACAGCAACTCCAAAAGTCTCCAGTTTATTAGTGTATCCATGGTGTTGCCATCCAAGGCGAACCACATGTCCACAAACAGCTACCGATTATCTACCTGTGTTAAAACCTGTTTGTAGATGGGAAGAGGCTTAGGATCCAAAGAATGTTAGACAATGGCTTCGCATTCTTGTTTCTTCAGTTCCTTAGCAGCTTTTCTGAATTCCTCCGCAAGTAAGCTTTTGAGTCTTCGCCTCAACTTAGAAGCTTCTTGAGGCTTAAACCAATCCTTTCCAAACATCGCTAGATCCTTCCTTTTCAGTCTTTCAGGAACTTCACGGATGAATCGTTCAATAAAGAAAAGCACAAAAGGACCGCAGTCATAGTCATTCTTTTGTTGAGGAACCTCAATTTCTTCGTTCTCAATCCTAGAAGGGAGCATATTCCATACGTTATCTGCAATGGGTAAACATTGTCCTTCATCTTTCAAGATTTTCCACTCTTCTACTAAAAATCTCTTAGTGTTACTGAAAATTGGCTTGCTATAATGCAACGTTAATGAATCTAAATGAAGTATGATGGGTCCACATTCATCCTCCTTATCTGGTATGCAGATAATTACCAAGCTCCAGTGAAGACTTTCATGAATTGGTAAAAATATGTATGCTTTCTCAAATAGATTTATGCCTTTCCACCATCTTCTTAACTTTACAAAGGAAGACTCCCTGTCATTCTTTTTCAGCACAGCCTCTTTAAGCTTGCTATAAAAATATGTATTGAAAAAATGATAGTTGCATCCTCCATTATCTAGTAGAGACCTTGTCTGCTGCAGATATCTGATGTAAAAGTTCATCATAGTTGATGACAAATAAACTTCAGGAGCAAGGCAATCCATGTCTGAATAGCAAAGCTGAATTGGATCTGGGTCATCTCTAGAAGGATAGTATAGCTTCATATCTTTTGTGCATTCATCCATAAAGTCTAATTGGTCCATCTGTTCAGCCTCATGCTCCTCTTCATCCAGAAGAACAACTGTCTCACCATTTTTACAGCTTGGACCATCTGAGCATTGGACATCAGAAGAATTTTTCTTTGTAACACTGCCATAGAAGAGTCCCTCAGAGAGCGAAGTAGCAGAAGAAATACTTCTTTTTGAACCAGCATTTGATAGCTGCAGACTATGTGCTTTACGAGAAGAGAGCCCTCTCTCTTGTCTTCTCCTTGGTGAAATCTGCCTTTTGTGTGTCTCTCTATTGACACAGGGATTCATAGTATACATTTCTTGTTCAAAGGCAATATGGTTTCCTGTTGTTTTTATGTTCTTTGTAAAACGGGAAGCAAATGAAGATTGTGAAGGTGGTGTGGAAGATGATGGAGCTGATTGCTTGAAGCCAGTAGATACACCTGCAGAGTTGTGAGTATGCTCTTTTCCTTCATCGATGTCCTTATGCTGGAGCTCACGTTTCCTCCGCTCCTGTTCATCCTCGAGCCGGTTGATACGTAATCTAAGCTTCTCACCACCATCACCCAGATTTTTGGCGGCACCGTTAGATAGAATACAATTCATTCTCGCAATCTTAACCTTGAGCTCTTCATCCGACAATTTCCTGAAGTCGTCCCGACATTCATCCTCGTCCATCACCGTCGATTGCGATTTTAGCGCTGCCGTAGAGGTTACAACCAGCTCCGGTGGAGATTCGTCTTCGCGTTCGGGTAATAAGACCCCCCAGTTAAGAGTGATGCCCCCCGTCCTCTTACTCCCTCTTCCTCCCTCCATGCACACTTGTGAGCGCAGAAAAATTGTGGGTATATAAGCCGTCCGAAACAATATTAAATTAAAAAAAACATTAGTTGGGATAGGCTGATACAGTGCATCGTTAAGGTGTTGTGGATTACTGGATTGCGTTCGTACGGTGCCGAAATCTTACCGGGGGTAATATAGTAAAGAATTTACTTATGAGTCACATTTGTGGAAAATAAGAAAAAAGATCTCTTTTTTGTCTATTAGCTACTTTTTAGTACTCCCTCCGTATCACATATATCTTCCCACTTTCAAAGTGGATGAGATTAAGAATAGTGAAATGGGGTATGAATTATTGAGGGTATGATGGGAAGATGGTGAAATAATGTGATAGGAATGAAGGATAAATCCAAAAAAAGTAGGTGTAGTAATGTATTATTTAGAAATGGGAAGATATAAATGTTACATCCAAAAAAGGAAAGTGGGAAGATATGAATGTTACGGGGGAGTAATATTCGTCCTAACCCTGCAGCGAAAGACAAATGTTGGGCAGAGATAAGAAAATTTTGTGAGAGACATACCAGACCTTGGGTTGCTATACATGCGGCATTTTAACGATACTTCTTGGGCAGCTGAGCAATCTGGAGGTCACATTTTATGGAATGCTATGGAGAGGTTTTAGGAGCAGCTGAATAGCTGCGATCTGCATGATGTTAGTACTGAAGGAGCCCCTTTTACATGGATTAAACATGAAGGCGCATATCTAGCTTTAAGGAAAAATTAGATAGGTTGGTTTGGAATATGGAAGCAAATACTTTCTATCCATACCACAAGGCTAGGAATCTTCCCAGACTACACTCGGACCATCATCCGATCCTCTTCTCAAGCAATGTGAATAATTATGCTATTAATTAGAAGAAATTTGGTTTGTACGGTTTGGAGTTGCGTGGCTTAGGAGAGCTTGGAAATTGAGACCTATATCTATTGAAGATGCAATCCAGGAACCTATGAACTAGAGGAAAGACTGGAGCAAGCTGGCCATTGGGTATGTATTTTAGCGTAAACAACATCTAAGAGCTCAAATTCAAGGGATGCAAAACTTCTCAAACTACGCAAATTCTCACACATAGCAACTATTAGAAAAGGCCTTAGAAGTGGAGTACAAGATCCTGGATAAAGAAGAATTTTTGTGGATTCAGAAAACTCGAGTGGAATGGATAAAAGGAGGAGACCGTAATACAAACTATTTCCACAACTCTACCATCATTCGTAGCGACAAAAATATGATTGGAAGCCTGAATGTTAACGGTACGTGAACAACTAGTCAAGATGAAATGATTAACCACGTCCAGGGGCACTTTGCGGAGCAGTTCAAGGAGCCCAATACCTCAACGGACAAAGAATTGAAGGATTTGATCGGAAGTTCCGTAGAATCTGAAGGGATCAAAGTAAGGACCTTATGAAGGAAGCAACGGTGGAAGAAGTCAGGTCAATTGTGTTTAACATGAACAATTTTAGTAGCCCAGAATCAAATGGTCTGCAAGCCGTAGTTTACAAAAAGTTTTGTGATAGGATTGGGCTTACCATTACCAAGTTTGTGAATACATCACTCCACATTGGGGAAACTCCTTCCGAAATCCTAGCTCAAGGCTCACATGGTACTTATTCCGAAAGGATATTCTAGTGAAGATGCCAGTAGCTTTCGACCCATTTCGTTGCTTAATGTGATTTATAAAGTGGTCACAAAACTTTTAAATAATCGAATGAGACGTTGGATTGGAGACATTGTCAATCCCTTCCAAAGCAACTTCCTTCCAAGGAGAAGTACTACTGATAATATCATACTCACAAAGGAGATTTTACATTCCTTGGAATCGAGAAAGGGAACGAAAGGGGGTATGCTGATGAAATTAGATCTATAAAAAGTGTATGATTGCCTTAATTGGAGGTTTCTGGAGGATACTATGGCAGACTTTGGAATTCCTAAGGACTTTAACAATTAAACTGGCTGGTTATGAATTCTTTATGGGCTATGCAAATTAAAATGATTTGGAATGGTCAAAAGTTAGAGGAAATGCAGCTAACTAGAGGATTAAGGCAAGGGGATCCCCTCTCTCCTTACCTTTTTATTTTAGTCATGACTCATGAAACACTTTTCTCACCTCATTGGTAGGCAAGTGGACATGAAGAGATGGATATCAGTGAACCTAGGGTGAACATGGATTTCAGTTTCACTTCAATTTTTTGCGGATGATCTTATGCTATCTAGCGAGCCATCGTGCAGTCACTTTTTATGCTTTGCTATGCATGGTTCAGAAAATCTCCTTTAGCTCAGGGCTAATAATTAAAAAAGAGAAATCTCGTGTTTACTTCTCTCTGAATATAGAGGGCAGTATGTGTTGTCGCCTGCAAGAGATGACTGGGATCAAGGCTACTTCTGACCTTAGAAAGTACCTAGGAGTCCCCATTCTACGTACATGGGTGAAAATCGAAGCATAAGTTCTCCTTTCTCCTTTATTGGATGAGAAAGAAGTTGTCCTCTTTGAAAGAAAAAACTTTGAGCTTTGCACACCATAAGACACTAACTAAGTCAGTTACTAGTACTTTTCCTAAACATGTTGTGCAAGGTATTTTACTTCAATTCCCGCTACTGTTTGTGAGAACATTGATAAACTTAAAAGAAATTTCATAAGGGCAAGCAACGGGGGATCTCAGAGAGTTCACCTAGTGAATTGGGAAGAGGTCCGCTAGCACAAGGAGGTGGGTGGCTTAGGTATTCAAAACGTTCATGACTTAAATATCGCATTTCTAGCCAAAATTAAATGGGACTTATAATGGTCATATACACAATGAACACTTCCTTCTGGGAGGCTGAGAGAAAGGCCACTTATTCTCATACCTGGAGGGATATTAATAGGTGCATGAATATGATTCAACGAGGATTACGCTGGCAAGTAGAGACTGGGATATATATTCCTTTTTGGTTTGACCATTGGGTGCGAGACAGGCTGCTATATGAAGACTTGACCTCTCCTATGGCGGCTTCAACGAGCCTGGTTAAAGTGGCCAATTTTATCACTCTTTCCAAGGAGTGGAATGTGACTAAGTTGGAAGATATCATGTAGGAGGATGTGGTCAATGATGTTACAACATGAGGAGAGTCGTGATGAAATTTGTTGGAGGTATTCAGCCAGTGGTGAGTTTACTATTAAAGCCGCTTACGAGGCTTGTTCTTTGGTTCAAGTTGTAGAAGAGATGAGTTGGCTATGGAGAATAGAAGCAGCAGAGATGATGTGTTGCTTTCTCTGGCAGGTAGGAAAGAACAAAATGTTGAGCAATGCAAAAAGAGAAGACGACATCTCTCGAATGACTCTAGCTACAATGCCCAATTTGCAACACTGAAGAGGAAACTGTTCTTCATATGCACCGTGACTATGAATTTGCGGCTACATAAATGTTGGAGCGAAGCTGCATTTGGTGTACCTAGGGCGGGATATAGCTTTCTCAATAGTTTGAAATGAGGATAGAGACACTGTCAAGGGAAGGGAAGAACCTCATACACAATTGAATTCCCCACACTTCCAGGTTCTCTTATGTTATTTGGTATATATGGAAAACCCATAACACTAAGTTTTTTGAAGGTGTTTGTCCAGATGCAAATCGAGTGGTGAGGAACGCCTATGCGCATGCAAAGGAGTATAATAAAGTAACTGTTAGGGACGAAATCAAGCAATTAGGGTGGGCAATTAAGTGCATTATGTCGGACCCCGAATCCTTGAAGTTATATTGTAACGGCTTTAGTTGATTATAACTGTATAGAGGGCAGGAATGGGTGGAGTGATTCGGAATCACAAAGGGGAATGGATGATGGGTTTCACATTGAACATTAGTAAAACTGAAAGCTTCAAATCGGAACTCAGGGGACTACGTTAGGGGTTGTTGTTGGTTGAGAGATGGATTTGAAGGGAATGATAGTGGAAATGGACTCGAAAAGTATGATAAAGCCCCTCAAGAGGAGGCAGGGGCGCAGGGCTCGTGGACAACTAATATTCGAGTTCTAGTTCGAGATTGCCAAAGATTCCTTGATGATGGTCAGTTCGTTCACATGAAACATATTTATCGAGAAGTGAATAAATATGCTGATAGGCTCGCCAGTGCTGCACATGAAACTCCAAAGGGTCTTTCAATTGTTGAGTCAGCACTACATTGAAGCAAACAAATTTTCCGTCGTGGCAAAAAAAAGGGAAATACAACTTTAATCATATGTCATATTTGTGAAAACCTTCTATTCGGTGGAAAATAAATAATAATTTTGTGCAGCTGAATGTCTAGAAACATTATAATTGTGAATTAGTATCCCTCATTTATGTCAATCTTTTTATACATAAAAGCTTGTACATTCACCCTAAAATATAGTACTAAATTTTTCTGATCTAAAAGACTAAAATACCATTACACCGTTAAGAGTTAATTTTACTAAGTTAGATTATTAAACTACGCTACTAGCTTTACAACTGCACATCACTACGTTAAGTTCAAATAGCAAGTAATAGTAGTACATCAGTACCATTATTAGCTTATAACATTAGGAGTCAATTTTAGAAAAACTCAGATAATTTGAGTATAGTAGTCCAATTTAAGTATATAGCCTAATATGTTCCATACCCCCTCCGTCTCAAATTGAGTTACTAAATTGATTTTTTTGAGTCGAACGGATTCATTTTATTCACTTAATTAAGATATCAATTATTCATAAAATTTAAATTTGGATTTTGCAACTTTATCGAGATTTTATTTTAGTTTCTGAATATGTATATTTTAAATATTAAAATTGAAATTATTATCAATAGGAGAATTTAACTTCGATATTGATTGACAAAAAAGTTGACTTTGCAAAACAATTAAATATAGAAATTTGGCACAATGTAGAGAAACGGCCGCTGCTCTCCCTCTAGAGAGAGAGCAGCGTAGTAGACTATTATATTGCTAGACTAGCTCTATTCTATGATTCCTTAAGGTTTTCCTTAAG